TCCCGTGAAGGTGCCCGAGAGTGGCTCTCCGCGGAGAAGGAGAGTATCTCCTCGGCGTGAAGCAGCAGTGGTGAAGAGGCAGGCCTTAGAGACGCGAGCCCTGTACGCCTCGCCGGTGTGAAGGCATGTTGTAAATGTTGACTTTCTGCGAGTGAAGTAACGCATCGTTTCTCACGTCCAGGCCTGCGTACCTGCCTGCCTGGCAGTGTGTCTGATGTGGTGTGAGAGGGTGATCTGCCAAGGGTACTGCTCTTTCAGGAAACACGGGCTTTCGTGCATTGCGGATTAAGTTTTGCAGTGTATAAATGCGTGCCTTTATATTCCTATGTGTCTTTGCTCATCTTGTCATCGCTCCTCTTGAAGAGTTGATCTTGAGCAAAACCAGACGTGAACTTGGTCATTATACTGAAATGCGGTCTTAATTTAGCTTAGGAAAACGTTGAGTAAAACGGCAGAGGTAGTAGGCACAGTGGTGTTTCTTACATAAGTAGTTACGCACTGATTCAGTGGGTGTCAGCTGGATTGATGTGCAAATGACAGTGATGTGTTGAGACATCATTCTGGTGCTGTACAGTACTGGCAATGTACAAATCCACAGAATATTTGACAAAGAATCATTCATTCAGTATGTTTTAGCACAAATAGTAACTGAAATATTTACAGACATTAATAAACTAACCTTCAGCATAGTTAAGTGCTGCAATTAAGTCTAAATTGTATTTTACAGATTTTACTTACTGTCCTCAGTTGTCTCCATCAATGTAGAATTTGGATGCTGCTCTGGAGTTCCAGCTATTCAGTGACTTTGACTTTGAACGTAGTGATAGCTTAAATAAATGGGCCTGTCCGAGGTGTGGGATACAGCTGCTATCAACTTTATGTACAGAAGAAACTAGCATAGTCGTCTTGCAAAGTGGAAGACAGCTTGGATGTATTGTTTGTTACTTTGATGGCAGTGTGGTTCCCTACTTCCAGTTGAATAATTTTACTCAGACTGGACTAAGACTAGATAACCTGATAAGAGTCTGCAGTACAGTTAGGTGTAGATGGGTGAAGTGATTTGCCAGAGGTCATTCAAGAAGTCTGAGGCGGAGCTGGCTGGTTGATGCCCACTGCTTTTTCTGCTGTATGAAAAGGAGCTTGGTAGTTTGCTTTAATTTTTTTCCTTCTCTCTTACAACCGTGGTTTCCAGTCTGTCTGAGCAAATTTTTTAAAAGCGCATTATTCACAAAATTTCTCTAAAATTCAGCTATAGTTCTGTTAAATGTATATCACTAGAACAGTATTATGAAAGATAAGATTTTTTTTTTTGCATTTACAGCAAAAGTGTTGTTATATATTATTTGAAAAAATATCTTGAGAAACCTACTTTTATTGTCTTCATTCTCTTATGGTTTTTTTTGTGACATGCTTACAGAATTGTAGGTGATGATGATGGAGGAAAGCTCTTTACCCCTGAGGAATATGAGGAGTACAAAAGAAAAGTATTACCAATTCGTTTACAGAACAGGTTGTATGTGAGCTGGAGATCACCAACTGGCATGGACTGTAAACTTGTGGGACCAGAGACACTGTGCTTTTGTACTCACCGGTAGGAATCTTTTAATTTTTTTGAATTGTTGTATTTTTTAAAATCAGGAGAATATAAAATGTTTCCAGGTACATTACAGTACAGTATAGGCAAGTTAATTTGAGGTCTGAGGGTTGAGAAAATTAGGTTTTAAATCGTAAGAACTGTCCTTAAATCTAAATCTCAATACATTTTTTGAGACCAGAATGATTTCATAGTCTTCAATAAATTCAACTTTAAGGCACGAGTTATTGTAGATCAGATTGATTCTGACTGCTGTCAAAATGAAACATAAGGATTTGTGATAATTATGTAATGAATGGATGTAAAAGCACCTGATATTATGCATTTAATTGAAAATTAACAATTAACAGTAATTAATAAATTAAAGATGATACTTCAAAACAGAACTTGTAAGATAAATTATAAGCCTTTCAGGTAGTTTTCTTATAAATACTCACAAAGTTATAAAAGTTATTATTTTTGCCTGTTTTAGGTATAAACAACACAAAACGGACTATGAAGTGATTCCCAAAGATCGTCCTGTTTGTGTGCCTTGTCGAGTGAGCCGTTGTCCGTGCCAGTCCTATCACTATGTCCCTCTAAATGGCACACAGCCCATCCGTTGTAGATGCAAACACTTTGCTGATCAGCACAGCGCAGCACCTGGATTTTCGTGTAACTCTTGTAAGTTACTGATGGACTTGCAGCATTCTTTGCTAGGAAACTTAACAGGAACAGCATGTTAGGGATCTGTATTCTGCCCATAGTATTCGGTATGTGCTGCACTTGTCACTGATGTGTATTTTGGTCCTTGCAGAAGGATGGGAAATGGGAAGGATGACATCGCCTTTTGCACAGGAGGGTTTAGAACAACATCCTTAGCTTCCCCAAGTTCTGGGAAGGAGCGTAAGTTTCTCAGTGATTCGGTTAGGTATATATGGAGACAGCCACCTAAAGTTAGGCAGTATGAAAGTACCCCATTTGCAGTTTGTCATTTCCACTGCTGCATGCACGTGACTTTTCTACTTGAACTTGGTAGTTTGAGAGAGAGAAGTGTTGATCTCCATTCCCCTATTGCCTGGTTGAATATAATGTTAATGTATTTTTATATCTTTTCTCAACTCAATAGGAAGTAGCGCTCTGTTCCCAAATCTAGTGTTAGCACTCTAACAAAGCAATTCCCGAGCATACAGATTGTGGGTCCAGAAATGCAAATGGGAATGGAGTTTCAAGCAAAAGGTTTGAGAAAGCATTAAGAGGAAGCTTTTTGCGTCAGTTGTTTGAGATTATTGTAATGAAACAGCAGTAATTATTAACCGTAGAAACTAAATAATGCATAAAGATGTTTTAATTTGAAACCTCAAATTACATAAGCTGAAGATTTTTTTGTTAGCGTGCTGTACTGTTGGTAAATTTCTTGCATGAAGTCTGTCTAATTTTACAGGAAAAAATCATAAACAGCTTTTGCTAGATGAGAATCATATCCCACAGAATAAACCATAAAATATTTATATGACAGCCTTTCAAGAAGTTACTCTAAGTAATGTGAAAGGCTTAAATGTACAATTGGATGATTCAGACTGAATTGTTAGAACACAGTGTTTTTAATAATCACTTACATTTTTCACTTTTTCTAGCGTTTCTCAAAAATACCCGACACTTCTGAGGGCTTCAAAGATTACACAGAGAAGTGCCAAGACTTGCTTCTATTTTGGACTTGTGTTGTTCTAATGTACTGGTATTAGTCTAGCCCAGTGCTGTATAAATCTAATGTGATAGATAAATTAGAGATGTACTTTATAATGGAAAAAATATTGCTGTTGCACTCTATATATTGTCTATACTTTATTCTGTATCCAAACACAGAGTAAGAGCTCTATTACTGAGGAGTGCCTAAAATGATACGAAAAAGCCTTTAACATTTCCAAGAATGTGATCCTTGAACGTATTACACAAGACTTAAAAAAAATCTTTGTTGGTGCTCTGCAAAATGAACTGTAACTGGAAGTTGGAAGCAGGGTAATTTGTATAATGAAACATTTGCAAAATCAGTTCCTCAATTTCTTGTTCACATCATTGCTCCAGCAGGTCTTTGATGACAGTCTTAGCTGTAGCTAGGGCAGATATAAAACTTCGCTCTGTGTTTCTGAATGTCACGTCATTTGTATAACCATTTCAGTTACATCCTGTGGCTACGTAAGGTTAAAAAACTCCTGAAAGTCTCTTACATAGCTACTCTTACGTAGAACCTATTTTGCTGTTGCCACAGCCTCTGTTTACTACCCAGATAATTTTGCTAATTTTCAAAGACATTTAAATTGTGATTTGTATCATAAATTGCGATTTTAAGTTTTCTGGCCATGCAATATTGACACGTGCTGTATACCTTTGGAGATAATACTGCCAAAATGCTGGCAGGTTGTCTTCTTTACCCAGTGACAGAATTCTTTCTCTTTTCATTTTTTGTCAGGGGAGGGATAGAGAAGGGTGTTACTAATGGCAATGGACACAAGTTGCAACATGGGAAATCCAGTTAGATATTAGGAAAGAAATGTCTGCTCCAAGGGGAGACCACCATTGGTCCAGGCTGCTCAGAGAGGTGGAATCTCCATCCTTGGAGGTACTCAAAACTTGACCGAATGAGACCCTGAGACTGGATGACCCCTATGATCAAATTCCCACGTTCATCCTTTCTCCTGTTTTATACAGCATTTTTGTATCATGATGACGAGAGGCTGTAAAAGGTTTCAGCAAAGATAGTTGATTGCTTTGCCTCAAATCACGTATGTGCTTCCAAATGGAAAGCATAGCTGAATGCTTTTGCAGTGAAGGAACTCTAGTTTTTGACAAAATCAGTTTAGGGAAACACCGCTTTGTCTGCAATGAAGTATAAATTCCATTATCATCTTGCTCATTACACTTACTTATTTGTTAATTAGGTTCCAAGTGTTCGGGCTTTCATAGTTGCTTTACCTGTGCATGTGGTCAGCCAACATACGCTCATGAAACAGTCGTGGAAACTAAACAAGAGCGCTTAGCCCAAGGAAAGCCTGTGGGGCAGGATGTTCCTTATGCTGCTATGGGAGGACTGACTGGTTTTAGTTCACTAGCAGAAGGCTACATGAGACTTGATGACAGTGGAATAGGTAAGTGCAGCTGACCTGAGATGAAATTTTAATTCTCCAACTAAGTAGTTTTGAAAAGTAGTAACTTAACATAGACTTTCAAAGTTCAAAGGCAAACTGGATCAATAGGAGTAGGACTTAAGATAGATTCCCCCCCCCAGCAGTCCTTGGGTGTGAAGAGACCACTATGACCATCTTGTCCAACTTCCGGTAGTGAATTGATAAAAACCCTCTTTATCAATAATTCTGGTGTTCAGCCCAGTAGCTTCTGGTTGAAGTGGAGCATATCTTTTAGAAAGAACTCTGTAACTTCTGTTTTTCTCTTAATACTTCCATGTTATATTTATGTTAATACTTTAGCCTAATACTGCTCAGGTATTTCTTCATTGTACAGTTACAGCGCTTTTTTTTCCAAACTCAAAGGTTAATAGCTGTTCAGCATAAAAAAAAAAAAAAGAGGTCATCTGTAGGACTTTATTTTTGACAGGCATGTTAGTTGGCCTTGATACCTCTGCTGCTCTGTGATTTTGTGTCATTTAGTAACGGACACATTTTGTCCTGAAATACTGTTTTATTTATTATTGCCATGTACTCATTATTTCTTTTTTAAATTCTGGTCTGGCTTCCTGGATTTGTCTGAAGTTTAGAAACTATGGCATAGCTGTAGTAATTAAAGAAATAAAGCTTTTCATTTCTTTTGCAGCCTTTTTTGCTTTTGTAAACTCAAGTTTATGGGGTCTGCACTGAGTGTTGTAGATATTAATCTGTAGCCTTGTTTTGACCCCATCATGTATGTTCTTAATATATCTCATGAAGTTAATTTTTGTTTTCATTCAATTTATTTTCTAACAGGGGCTCCTTCTGCTGAACTTTTAGAATCCCCTGTTACCAGCATGGATCATCCATTTCTAAAAGCATTTCAGGGACCTTCTAGTTCTGCTCAAACCATCTCACAGATAGCAGGTGCTGTATTAGTAGGATAATACTGTTTTACAAAAAGTATTTAATATAAAATTAATTGGTTTTATTTATGAGTTGAAGGATGCTTAGGACTAAAATCAAAGTTAAAAATTAAAATGAGTATTGAAGCCTTGTTATGTGAAAAGTTAGTACAACATTCATGAAGTGCTTAGAATAACTGTTTTGTTACTGCTTGTAATTTTTGTTCATGAAGTGCTTTTTAACTTTAATGATCTTTTTCTAGCATTTGGTCTCTTCCCCATTAACGGTGTCACTTACTCATTGGATCAGTTTTTTAAGTTTTTAATTCCTACTAGAAGCTCATCATATCTGAATGGATCTTACATATTCAGCGCAATACTGTGAAACTGCCTTCTGCCAGAAAGTCTTTTCTGCGTGGAATTATGAATCGATTATGCTTATTTTATGTCCCTTACTTAGTACAAGAATTTAGCAATTAATATAACTGTTGAACTCCTCCAAGACTATTTACAATAGCTGCTAGCCTAGGCTAAAGAACTTACTCTTTGGTCCCAATTGCTGGGGTTTGTTACTTGCCTATAAAGGTGAGTTCTCATTTTAAACGTGTTTTGCCAAATGTAAAACATAACTAATGGAATAGCAAGTATCATTAATGAAAAAAGTTTTCGGTTTTTTTCCTTCAGGTGGTTCGAGTGCCACAAGGCAAGTTTCTCATGGAAAGCATTCAGAAGATGATGACATGGCTTACTTTGAAAAATGTTATCAAGAGCGGGCAAGTTACTACATTTGTTACTTAATTCAGATATATTTTCACAAGAGGATGTCTAAAAAAGATAAATGTATGATTTAAGTGGCATATAAATGCATTATATCATTTGTTCTCTTCTTGAGAAAACACTAGCTTCTTAAAATAGTTTTAAATACAATTATGAGCTACTGCAGGATTTCAGAGGTCAGTCATGGCTGGGATGGTATTTACCTTAACTGGGCAGATTTTTATTGAGGTAACTCTATTACAGAAAAAGAAAATACTTTACTGTGTGACAAAAAGAAACAACAAAGCAGACTCGCAGAAGGTCACCTGTGCATGTAGGAATGGGTGTTTGCTACCTCATTTATAAAACTTTATGATGTTCTTTTCCTCAGGAATGTCTGTGTAGTTGGGTAAATCTGGTGCGTCTTTCTTTAGATGATCTGAATCACCCGCTTAGAGGTGCTTCCTCCACCCCACTGCCTGTATCGTAAATTTAAATGCCCTGCGGTGTAGGTTACTTAGATGCGTAAATACTTACTCTTTCACCACGTTAGCTCCTTACCTCCACCATCTCTGCTGGAAGTATGTCTTGACTGTTCATGAATTCTTTTGTAAGGCAATGTTGCATAATTAACTTTTAAAATCTTAACTGCTGTTATGCTTGCTGCTTGCAGCAAGGTGTTTGTTAATGAGAAAGCTGTTCTAGCTTTGTGAAATTTTAAATAATTTTCTTTATTTGGGAAATCATCACAAAATACATTAAGATGTTACAAATATAGTATCAGCTTATAGGAGAAAACATGTTACTATCAAATCCGAATTGCTACATTTCTTTTTCCCCCCTAAGATTATCTTTTCTTTGCAAAAAGTAGTAGGAATTTCAGATACAAACCTCAAGCATCCAAATATGGAAAAATGTTTTAAAATGAGTTCCTGTGTAGACCAACAACAGGCTTGCTTTGCAGTGAGTTCATTTGTAGACATCCAAATCAGGACTGCGGCCTTGCTTCCTTTTGACACTATTTTATGGGGGAAAAAAGCATGTTAAAAATATTATTTTATTTTTCCTTGCATTTTTGATAGCAACATGATATCTTATGTTAGATGAGATGCAAAAGTCCATGCATCCCTTTTTATATAATTACTCTAAATAGAATTTCATTCACTAATGTAACAATACTTGAGAACAACTGTTGCTTCTAAAAACAACAGATATATTTGTTTGGATTAATAGTCTTACTACAAAATGGCAGAGTTAAATGTACGTGTGTTGGTAAATCATACCATGCAGTAAGAGCCTACTGTGTAGAAAAATCTTACGAGAGGAAGGCATGACCTTGTGGGTCAGTGAGGAGACACTGAGGTGGAGGTATAGCATCTATCTCAGCCACAGACTTCCTATGTGATTTTGTGCATGCTGGTTAGTCTAACTGTGTCTGTTACATGTCTGTAATAAAACTTCTTTACCTTTCATTGACATAAAGATAAACCCATGAACATTTGTAAGGCGCTTTGGCCTTGAGGGGTACATAAATAACTAGATTGCCATTATCAGAGGTAAAGGCAGCCCTGGTTTGAAGAGGGGAGCAGCTGCAGAGCTATGGAAGTGCTCCTTTGTCCTGTGATGCAAAAGTAAGCAATGCTAGGTTGGGCTAATAATGACCTGTAGCTTTCTCCATTGCATATATCACTCTGGTAAATTTATGACTGGATGTAGAGATTTAATATTGCATTACTAGCTGACTTGCAAATTAATGCTTGAACCACTGTTGGTGTCTTTCTTTGTTACAGCTGAAAAAGGAGAAGGCTGCTAAATGGAAAGAGAAAAGTCCAGTGTCATCAAAGAAGCCGTGAGATTAATAAAGAAATATTTATTATATGGCACAGTGTTAATCGTATTGAAATGAGAATTTTTCACTGTGCCTACCTGCATACATGTATTTCTTCATTTCTTTATTCTGCTGTTATGGTCTATTGCTGAAATTGATTTTTAATTATCTTGTTGTAATAAAATTGGTACTTTAATTGATGCATTTCTAATCTCCAGAATTGTTACATAGATATTCCTTTGAGAATGGAAAATCATATTTAGAGATTTACAGAACTGTTATTTAAGATGTGAGAGAATAAGCATCGTCATGGTTTAACCTCAATCGGCAACTGAGCACCACACAGCCGCTTGCTCACTCCCCCTCTCCCCCCGGGGGGATGTGG